CATCTGGATTACCAATGTCAATCTCTGTGTATGTGTGCGTCATGTTCCCCCACAAACTTCTTCTCATTCTCCTAGTCATTTTTTGACTGCTTTTAAAAAGACTGAAAGAAAAGTGCTCAAGTTGGAGAATGATAAGTCTAAGTGTGTGCCTCTAAAATTGTAATATTGCACAGAAATGGGCCAGTTTGTTGCATGTATAGAGCAACTACATACCTTTTTAAATTCTCTGTAATATGCTTTTCTTGAATTCTCATTTTCAAAATTAACATGCTTCTCCAAACTCTGCATCTCCATCTCCTGCGAACACAAAGAAGAAAACAGAAATCACTACAATGGAAATCTGTATAGTATGCAGTGGTTGTAATTGGATTCCATTTCCACTGAACAGGCTGACATTTACCCTGTGCTCAAACTCTCTTTGTCGCTGTAGGATGTCATTCTGAAAGCTTTGCAAATTCCTCCTCTTCATCAGCTCTTGTTCTCTAGAGATTCTCTGCTTTTCCTGGAGGTCCTGAAGCTAATTAGGAATGGTATGAATTGAGGGACTGGTTAACTTCAAGGAAATATCAGCAGCATAACCACAAATATGACTGCAAGCACGACTTTCAAATGTTCACCCTTTGTTTCCTGATTTCTTCTGGATTTCTTTGGGCTTTGACATGGTGCACAGATGACTTCTCTGAATTCTTTGGCTGCCCTGAAACGTCACCCTTTTGTCCATCTGTAGTCTATAACACAGGAAAACGTGCCAAATATATTGTTAAATAATATATTTTCTTTTAGTTCATAATAGACATAGGAAGCTAATCATTCAATGAATCACCACATTTACAAGACATTGTAAAATAAGAGCTTACACAGTTTACTAGCCAACTGATAAGAAATATACTCCACATGTCTTAGGATCGCTTAAAAATCTGACTTATGAATAAAGATAATGATAGTAAAATGTAGTGCCCGGATCTGTGTGGGACATGGTGTTTTACCCAATGGTCAGCAGGTGTGTAAAAGTGAACATAATCACAAAGAGCTTCTCTGCTGTATTTGTGTGTGCTTTACCATGTGACATGTCATTGCCATACCTGAATATGAGACAAAAAAAATACCTGGCTAAAATGATATACCAAAAAACTGAAATTAATTCAATGATCTATTATGGCCCCATACCAGACTAAATCATAGGCTTAAGTTCAATGAAAAGTCAGGAACATGTCTGCAGATTTGAAAATAAAAAAATCAGATTCATGATGTCACCTTTAGATATTACTATTCAAGGTTTTACTAATGTGCCACAAAATGTAATGTTTGTGAGTTCAACTCTCTTCATTTGGGGGGTTTCCCAGCAAACACTGATATATGTGATTGACTGCAATTGAATCAGCATATATTTATGCCACCCCATGAATATTTTCCTAGATCCGCCACTGCTATAAACACTGTACAGTTGTTTGGTTTCTTTCCAAAGACATGAGTGACAGTGACGCTGCTAAATGCTAAAATGTACACCAAAGTATGGCGATAAAGGCAGCTGGGACAGCATCTTACCCATCCGTAGACTCAGTCTGAGCGATGTACCACTCAGCGCTACTGATACTCTCTTCCATTACTGTAAACCTTTTGAGCTGGAAGATACAGATGTGTATCCCCTAAAGGGTTAACAGTTCCCTTCAGGGAGTTGGGTTAAAAAGATGTTCTTGAAAGGCTCTTGAAACTACATTTGAATGATTGTTAAATTACGTTTTGGCAACTGCTACACGCTGGAAAAACTGTTTTAATTCCGCCAAAACAGATCACCAAGTAACACCAAGTGACAGCCAGCTCCAGCTCCAGAGAGTTAGCCACGGACAACATTAGCCGAGCGGCTCTTACCTTAAGTTTTCCGAGGAAGCCGAGACGTTTGGCTCGTTTTTGTTCTGCAAAACGTAAGAAACGACAGAATCCGGTTAAACTCACCCACAGTCACTGAATGAGTGAATACATTCAGTCAATACCGACAAAATACGTACTAGCTTTCGACATAACTTCACCCAAGTCTCGTCCTTCTTCACGTGTGTGGCAACGGGGTGGACATGCGCACACAATGACGTCACACACAACATCCTGCTACATGTCAAAATAAAAGCGTCAAACGATGTGGTTCCCAAATATTGACAGTATGGTCCTACATTAGGCAGAATCCCTCCAGAAAAACGCGATTATGCGATCGCATAATTCAATGCATAATCAGCCAAAGTCCGCATATTTATGCGGGGGCCGCATTTTTTCAAATACGCCGCACTTTCGCCGCATAAATTGCCGATTTCCGCGCAAAATATGCGGGGCTTGCATGATTTCATAATCCCCACATTTTCGTTGCAGAAAAGTCACATATATCTTAGCAGAAAGTTGAACAATGTTGCGTTCACTTCACACAAGCAGCCATTTTCCCCTGTTGCCATGGGAACGTTATGAAGTGACGTAATTACGCGACGAAGCCCGTAATTCAGTCTCACGTTTTATTTATTCATTTTTACAGAAGTTGTTGCATATTCCTTTTGTAAAGCTACAGAACTTGTTTGACTCATCAATGTTTTGTAAGTTTGAGCCATGTGTTTATTAAGGTCTGAAATAAAACAAGATGAGAACTTAAATATTCCCAGCACTTTCTGTGATGTAGTATGCTTGCTTATCATAGGAAGAAATGACTCTTTACAGTCAGGTAGTAGCCTAGTGAGAACAGGGTGTTGGGGGAATCACTTTTTTTTCTTTTTTTCATCAAACCGCAGTTTTTGCAAGTTCTCTCAATTTCATCGCATAAAATTGCATAAATATCCCGCATATTCAATCGCATTTTTTAAGAAAACGTGCCGCATAATCAAGGATTTTTGCCGCAACAATCACAAAAAATCTCCGCATTATTCAACTGGAAGGACTGATAAGGCAGTAGTCAGTGCCTCAATCCCATCTGCATGTGTACATCCCAAACCAAGGAAGACAACATCTGGTACAGGCATTTCATTGATATCATTATTATTTATTTACTTTAGCACAAAACATTTTATAGAAATAACTGGTACTCAACACAAGTATTCCATTTCAATCTAGCAGCTTTGTGAGACAATTACCTTTCGTTTAGCTGTATATTCATTTATTTCACAGACCCAAGCTGAAGCAAAATGTAGCCGATGACCAGAGTTATTAAATCCTATGGGAACCATGAATGTCCTTTTGTGTCTTGCTATTAGGGTCGTATGATATGGTAAAAAAAAATCTTATTGCGATTATTTTGATAGATATTGCGTTTGCGATATGATTCACGATTAGTGGGAATGATCATTTTTGCATCATGTGTGTAATGGAAAATTTTAATACATTATGATACATTTTATGTAAACACTTTAATACACTCTATAATAACCTCACTCTCATGAATTATAGTGCGTGCACTTTATGTAACCTCATGCTTATGAACTATTGTGCGTACAAAAATGTCTAACTGTTTCAAGGGTGCCCTCAGCACCTGGTACTTCTCCCACACAATGAAAATTAACAGTCAACCTGTGATTACAATGTCTCAAATGTTTTACTGTCGCTATGGGAGGAGAGGATGAATTCTCTAGAGACTGGCTCCAGACATCTCCCTTTTGTTCAAGGTTATGATATTCGTTAACATATCCAACTGTTATCTACTATGTACCACCTGATTTGTTTCTCTTTCTTCAATAAATAAGGGTGCAGCTCTGAAAAAGGGAGTCCTTTTCATGCTAACAAGCTGAGAGGCTCACTCTGCGCAGAGTTACACCTGGGTGAAAAGACAAACTGATTGACTTTGTCTAATTCTTGCATCTCACATGAATGGGCTGAATTGAATTTCCACCACATGTGGTATCTGAAGGCTTATAAATTTAAATTACATTCTGTTATAAGTTCAAATGGTATATGTCAACATATGTAGTGTTAGTAGTACATGAGGTTAAATGACTAATTCTTACTATAGAATGTTTATGGTTGAATGGCCTTAGGCCTCAACTGTTTATGGCTTAAGGGCCTCTGACCTTTACCTGATAACCCCCACCTCCCCTCATCATATTAAACATCTGGATTGGAAACAGTCGTTTCTTTTGATTTTTTGGAGTTAAACAGACCTATATAAACCTGTGTCCAGGTGAAATAGGGAGAGCTGTTCATTTGGCAGGATGCTCTCCAAGCTCCCGGGGCTTGAAATCATGCTCACATCTTTTTTGTAATAAACCTTTTTTATATACAATCAATACATCTTCACATCATCGCTACTTCATATACCACAATCACAATTTTAGTTTTTACTGAAAAAAAATATTAAAGTCATGATGATGGTAGAGACCCCAACAAATGTCAGATACCATCTATTCACTGCTTTAATCACCAACGTCATCTGGTTGTGATTCATGCCATGTCCAGTGAAGCAGCTGTCGAGGATTTTTTTGGAGTATGCAACATGCTGTACAACTTCATCAGGAAGCCAACCGTGGCTATTCTGTACAAAGGCGAGACCCTGAAACGTCTCTTGGAACAGAGACGGACTGGCCACTTGGCAACGGTCAAAGTTGTGGTGAAGAGTTTTCACGACATATCCACATTACTGACCGAGGTGGAAAACACACGAGGCCTTCATACGGAGGTGCGCGTCGAGGCTACGGGGCTGCTTCGTGCCATTACGCAGCGCAGTTATCCTTTCATGAGAGACAGCGAGCTCAAATAGTGGCATCGGCAGCTCGCAGTGGTATTTCCAGTTGCAGGTTGAGATGCCAACGATTTTTCCTGAAATGCCACGGCGTCTTTCGCCGTTTATGTGTGTTTATCTATAGGCCACTGGTTTGGTTGTGTATGGTTTGCTAGTAGGCCTATATGAGTAGTGGGTGATTTCGGACACAGCCCTTGTTTGCAACCGTTATACCCCATAAACGGCGAAAGATGCCGTGGCATTTCAGGAAAAATCGTTGGCATCTCAACCTGCAACTGGAAATGCCACTGCGAGCTGGCGATGCCACTATTTGAGCTAGCCCCTGCTGCTTTTCATTGCGCACCTTGTTATGAAACTGTTGTCACTTTTCGAGCCGCCTAACAGACTACTACAGGCCGAGGATATGGACTTGTTCACTGACTGCGTGAAGACACTGCGCACAGAAAACGAGTTTTGTGCACTGTGGGATCTCTGCGCTCCTCCAGCATCGGCCACCGAGGCTGTGCCGGCGACCGACCCCGCTCCAGGCAAGAGAAGACGCACAATTAGCAAGAACCTCCGCGGATTTGCAGTTGAAGAAACAGTTGGTCAGCCACAAAGTGACATAGACGAAAAGACTGAGTTCAACACACTGTTTTACAGTGTTATCGATGCTGTGCAAGGAGAGATGAATGCGCGTTTTGGAGAGCGCAGTAGCGAGCTCATTGGCGCACTGGCTGCTTTGAACCGAGAGGCCGATGATAATTTCCTGGACCCATCAAAGGTAACCCCTCTCCTGATATTAGCTGGAACTGATGTGGTTGAATCTGAATATACTGTGGCTCGTGAGTTCCTGGTGAAGAAAATGACTGACACCCCGGTTCCCCCAGAAGATGGAAAATGGACAAAATCCAACATCCTCAGCACATTCAACTGTGCACTCCAGGCTATGCCGACTGTTCTCACAGCCTACACCCTTGCCCTAAGTTTAGGAGCTTCCACAGCAATGTATGAAAACTATTTCAGCATATTTTAATTATTTATATTTTTAATTTTCCACGCTCAAAAGCGTCTTCTCAGAGTATCGGCGCAGTATGCTGCACGGACGCAAGGCCCAGCTGAGTCAGCTTGCTTTTGAAGAGGACCTCACTCACAAATTTAGGTCCGAGTGATTTGATGAGGAGGTTCTGCTCGGAGAAACGCCGCCTCCCGCTGTACTGACAGAAGGGACTGGAGAGAGGACAGTGCTGCCGCCACTCAAAGTACCGGTAGGTTCAAAGTCTCTGTGCGTGCGTGCGTGTGTGTGTGTGTGTGTGTGTCTAATGGCAATGCATATCCCACTGTTGACTGCTTTAAAATGCAATGTTTGATTCAGGTTCATCTTAACTATAGTTTCTTATTTATTTATTTACTTTTTTTTCCTTCTCACAATAATCATGATAATGTCATTATTATAATAGAATAAAGGCGGGGGGGGACTGGATTAGGTGAGCGGAGCAGGTGGGGCGGAATGGTTGGGCCCTACCTCTTCCCCTCTCTTTCAAATAAAATTAAATAAAATAAAATAAAATAAAATAAAATAAACTCTCCTCAGCGGGCTGCTACACATCTGACTTAAGCTGTTATAATTATAGATACGATTAGATAAAAATCGAATTAAAGTCACAAGGCAATACCCAGCGGCATTGCAATAAACCTATTTTGTACTGTAATTAATAAAGTAGTTATTTGGGTTAGGATTCAGAATAAGGTCTAAATTCTTAGGAGCGGATTTCCGTCTGAACACCTCTGGTGTGGACAACTTGCAACAGCTTTGACTAAGACATAAAGACATATAATATATTGTTATATGTATATTGATATTGTTTGCTATACAATGTTATCTATTTATTAGATGTAGAAATTAATAGCAAATGAAGAAGCACTGAACTTGGGAAGTAAGACACCTTTAATTCTCCAATAAGAAGGCAATATCCAATGTTATCTATTTATTAGATGTGGAAATGAATAGAAAATAAAGCAACACTGAACTTGGGAAGAGACACTTTAATTTCCTCCAATAAGACTTACTTCAAGGAACGTCACAGTAGAGAATGTCATATCTTAAAGAGAAGACTTTGGTCACAGTTTTGACCCTATCAGACACATCTGAAAGGATGAAATTAATCACAATAATGAGTCTCTTTAGCCTAAGGTTAGATATGAGCTTAAATAGCATATCATAAACAATGACATAAATGAGACAGTCTGGTGGTGAAACAGGAAAAAGAAAAAGTCATTTTTCATTTGCAGACAGACATTAAACAAACATTAAATTGCTAGCAGTGGTCCAGTGGACGATTTTTAAATCGTTTATTTTTTGTTAAAGTGTGTTCAGTGTGAAAGCTGTGTTCATCCAAAGCTGTTAAGAGAATGAGAGGCCATAATTATCAGAATTTGTTCCCCCCTTTTTGTGTATTGTCATAATGTCAAGCATGTTGCACTGATGATCAAAATCCCTTTCCAATTCAACATAGTTGGGGTTGGTTGACTTTTTATGAGTGTAATCATTGCCAGTTAATGTTGAATTAAATATAAGTAAAGTTACAGTAGTAGTAATAGTAGTAGTATAGTCTCAAGAAGTCATATTTGAAGGGGTTTAATACCACACACTTATCCATTACAGAAAAAGACATCCTAATCCAAATTAGGATCAGGATCAATCATTCCCTTCTAAAAATCTTAATATTTTGACAGAATCTCATAATGTGCTTTACTGTGTCCTGGTCAAGAGCCTCTTTTAGAAAAAAACTCTAAACATTGGACAAAGCCCAACAAGCTTGTATCTTATTAGTTATAACTATAAAAAAGTTACGTTTATGTTTTCAAAAGTAATGTAGTTAATCAGATATGGCTTTTACTCAGAGACCAATTTTTAACGTTTATTGGACCACATACAGAAAAAAAGAGTAGTGCAATGGGCTGTTCATACACTCTACAATATTGCCAACTTTTTTTTAAAACGTATGCACAAGAAATTCCAGCTGAGGTGATATGGGTATGTGGGTTGTAAGATAATGTGTTCCTTTGCCTGTAATTATTATGTTCTTTGTGGTTAAACATACTTATGGAGTAATTTAGATCTAGGTCCCACTTAAATACAAGTTGGTTACCCCTTAGTCCCTTGGAATACTTACTGGGTAGCTACAGGTACAGTACATATTTTGTACAGGCTGAAATCTGAAGTGTTACTGAATTAAATCCAATATACATCAATTGATTATTAGGAATTATGCATTAACATATCGACAGCTTTTCCAAGTGGTTAGTTAAGTAAAGTAAAGGATCTAAATACCACTGATATCGGTGGCAGCCTGACACTGATATAATGTGGCATCTACTGAACTAAAATTTCCTGGAACTAGACACAGAATCCGTATCAGCTCCATAGAACTCTTGCTGACCTTGACATCTGACCTGCCAGGGGTGGAAGTAAATTAACACAATTACTAACCCTATACGTCACTAGTATCAAGAGTGTGTGCTCATGCCAAATTAAACTAGGGCATGGCAGTGGGAGTGGCCTACTGCAGAACAATAATTCCATTAACCCTACAAATTTAATTACCCATCTTAAAAGTTTTCATCCCAGTTACTACCACGAATTTGTGAAGAACAAAAAAAACAGACGCCAGTGACAGCAGCTGAGATTCGGCTCCACAATGGGCTTAAACAGGTTAGTCTCCACATCTACCCCATGAACCTGTTTGTAAGTATGGAGATATGTTTCTTGCTGCCTGGCTGGTAGGAGGGCTGTAGTACTCTGTGGTTTTCTGTGATTTAGATACATTTCAGTCAATGTAAACGTGTGTGATTACATTTGTTTACACCTAAGTGATTTTCTCGTGTGTTTTTAGTCAGATTATTAGAAAAACAGTGAGAATGAAATATTTTTGTGATTTCTTTTCTTAAAATGTTCTCCTGGGGAGCATAACAATGAATGGTTTCACCTTTACTATGCATCATTACGTTGCCACTTGGCAGTAAGTTGATGCCCCCCTGCAATAAGCCTTGTGCCTCCCTTGAATGTCTGTTCTTGCTCTGACAATGCAGCAGCCTCCTCCAGTCCTCAAACAAAGCCAAAAGATTATGACCACAACCATCCTAGGGACAAAGGCATCAATCAGAAAGTCTCAGAGTGTAGATCCTGGAACTAAAGAAATCTGTAATTTCTTTCTCTTTTGTCTTTTATTTCCATATGTTTATGTATGCATATTAGTGCTTTAATGTAGAATTGCTATATTTGTGATCTAATTCATGAAGTAGTTTCAAGTGCAGACATTTTCACCCCTCTTGACTCTTACTTCCATAAGATGCTGTTTTTAAAGATAGTCTGAGAGTGTATCGCTCTGGACAGCCAGCTGGTTTTGTTCATTTAAGATTGTGCATTGTTATGTTAAGCCACACACTACATTATGTCCTAATTTTGGCTCATTTATCCAATAGTGTAAAAAAGAGTACACTGTGTATATTACTGTTCTTTCAGGTGGCTTTAATTGCTGTATAGTTGTAGAAAGCACTAACTTTCTCAAGATCCCTGTGGACAGCTTGTGAAATAGGTCAAATTTGCCCTGGTTGTTGTTAGAATTGTCTCAAGGAGAGCATCATCCAAGCCTGTTAAAGTAGGATGAATTTTACGGTTTGAATGTAAATGTTTATTTTATGTCTGCATCTGCCAGTGGGCCATCACGATAAGAGTAGGCATAATATTATGATACTTCCACTACAGGAAAGACCTAATGTTTCTACAATTAGTTTGAAAAAAAACTTGCATATATCGGCATCAGCAATCGGCCAAATGAGTTAGAAAACATTGGCATGATGGATGTTGGCAAAAATCCAATTTTTTGCATCCCTGGTTGAAATCATTGTCTTTTAATCGTCATGTGATGCTGCGCAATGATGTTTTATTGTTTCCTTCATACTGACATTTATCTTATTAAAATAATGCGCTCAGATGTAAGTTCTATGATGAAATGTTTCTATGCCAAACTTTGCAGTTGGAAATGATAATTTCATAATTCTGTTCTATTGTTTATCCAAAGAGAACTAAAATGTATATAATTAGATTTGATTTGTTTGACTTTTCTCATTTTAACTAAGCTCACATTGTGCATTAGGGGGTACTTTAAAGGATAGCAGATGTCAATGTGGTTTGTCACATTGAGCAGATTTCTCATGTACACGAAGACCAAATGAGATTAAAGGAACACTTCAGGTTTTTCCACGAAACAAATTAACTCAATGACCTCATATGTCCCACAAACCTTTAATCTCTCCAGAATAACAGTTCACCTCAGGAGAATGCATAGGCTGACCAAAGCCTATAATGGTTTAATCTGGTGTGTCTGCCACAACAGTGCGGATGGATTGGAAATGATAATTAATGGGATCTAGGGAATTAAGAATATGGATGTAGAGGAGGGACAGAGAGGCAGGCAATGTTATTAGTGCTTTTCTTCAGTCCAGTTGCCTCACAGGAAACCGCCTCACAGATTTGTTTGTACCTCTGCGTGGAACTAAGACTTCCAAAGAGGAGGCAGATGGATCCTGGAACTAAAGAAATCTGTAATTTCTTTCTCTTTTGTCTTTTATTTCCATATGTTAATGTATGCATATTAGTGCTTTAATGTAGAATTGCTATATTTGTGATCTAATTCATGAAGTAGTTTCAAGTGCAGACATTTTCACCCCTCTTGACTCTTACTTCCATAAGATGCTGTTTTTAATGATAGTTTAGGAATCCCACTGTGTTTCATAAAAGTAGCAGAACTTGAATTTGCTTCCAAATGCCAATGGGAATCTGCATGACCATGTGTGAAAATCTGTTTTTCCACCCTTGATTGTTGAACAACTGTAGTGGTCTACATGTGTATTTTCTTCCTGTCTTGCCTGCAATTCCCTTTTGACCTGCCTTAAGAAGACATCCCTGAAACTGCTTACAAGTATTCCAAAATGCTGCTGCCAGGCATTTAACCAAATTCATAAAATCAGTTCTCAATTCGTGTGATCTTGTTTAGAACCTTGCATTGTCCTACCTAAGAGTGCAGACTGTGCTTTTGAGGTAGTCGCTCCTAAATTTTTCCCACAGGAGATCGCTTTTGCTCAGTTATTGGCTCTTTTGTCTTTTACTAAAAGCTGCTCTCGAAAGGTGCTATATAATTGTATTACGTTTGTGTGAAGTGGAGTCCACCTTTGCTTATCATATGGCTGTCTTTACTTCACATCA